TAACTGGATGAAATGTTCTATGAATAAATAAGGCAACAAATATTAGCTAATCAATAAAATACATCTCAGATTCAGAAGCAAGTTAAAGAAAATGTGTCAATAGGTTTCAACTTTTGTGTTAAGTTCTTTGGCAAAATCTAGGATATGATTAGTCTAACAATAAAGCTACTGTGCTTTTCTTAATCCAGAAAATTACCTTATATAATTGGTTTGTTTTTCTATCAGGAAGTTAGATAAACTGGCATCAAGGCAAGCAGAAAAATTCAGCTTATCTAAAATATAGATAAGCAAGTCTTGATGGTAACTTTGGGGTGGTAAAGGAATGGTTTTATTAACAGTCTACAGAGGAAAACAGAGTAACAGGCTCATCATCTCCTTCAAGCTTTGCCCTCTCTACCAAAAGTAACTGATTGAAAAGCTTACACTTTACTGTATTACCCTTTTGTCTTAAAGTCTGACAGGGACTCAAAGCACCTGGAATAACACGTGCAAGTTCAGCTCCAGTTGTCCGCCAACCCTTTTTTTTTTTGTTGTTGTTTTGTTTTTTTGGTTTTTTTTTTTTTTTTTTGAGACAGGGTTTCTCTGTGGCTTTGGAGCCTGTCCTGGAACTAGCTCTGTAGACCAGGCTGGTCTCGAACTCACAGAGATCTGCCTGCCTCTGCCTCCCGAGTGCTGGGATTAAAGGCGTGCGCCACCACCGCCCGGCTGCCAACCCTTTTAACATGTTTCCATTACTAAGAAGAAGGAACAAGCAGTCACTTTCACAGATACATCATTATGAGTACTCAATGACTAAGCTCTTCCCTCACTGCCTTCCATCATAGTGTCCCTTCTCCCTGTAAAGCTCTGGCCTTTCCTTACTGCATACAATACACCTGCCACCTGCCTTCCTTCTCACAATCCGATCTCTTAAGATTCAGTTTAAAAGTTGTCCTACCCGCCACTCCAAGGAAGTTTAACTTTGAGATCCATGAAGGTGCCCTTCTTCACATGTAGTGAAATGCTAAGCATACAAAAGACACTCAGAAAGCTTGGCTCAATGATTTAAATTCATTTACTATGCACTCACCAAATATTTACTGAATGTCTACTAAATACAATATCTCAGTGCTACAGGTAAAGATATTTTCCCTTTTATAGCTCTGAATTATATGCAGCTACTTAGATGAATTTTGTTGAAACAAAACATTATGTATTTAGTGGCTTAAAACAAGTGTATTATGTCACAGTTCAATAGATCAGAAGTCTGTTTGAATTACTGGCTGTGTGTTTTGTCATAGGTCTCAGAAGAATGAACTCAAGGTATCAGCAGAAACAGGATTTTATATGTAGGTTTGAGGAAGGAATGTGCTTTCAATTAATTGTGATTACTAGATTATAGTTAAAGCCATTCTGTACAATAAATATATATTAATAAAATAAAAGTGTAAACGTTTAAGGGTCTACTAGATTGATGGAGAATTCAGTTCAGATCCTGCTACTACAGACTTAAGGCTTCCATTTTTCTGTAAACTGTCAGCCAAGAGTCTCTCTTGGTCCTTTAAAGTTGCCTAAATAAATATGTGAACCGAAGTTTCCAGAAAACAAACAGATAAAACCTGGGCATCGGTGTTAAAGATTATACACGGCTAACAAGTAGAATCTCCTGACTGTAGAGAACTGGAACTGTATAGATCTGACACGAATTATCTTTTCATTTTTGTTTTTATTGAGCTATATATTTTCTCTGCTCTCCTCCCTTCCTCTCCTCTCCTCTCCTCTCCTCTCCTCTCCTCTCCTCTCCTCTCCTCTCCTCTCCTCTCCTCTCCTCTTCTATCCTCTCCCATGGTCCCCACACACCCAATTTACTCGAGAGATCTTGTCTTTTTCTACTTCCCATGTAGATTAGATCCATGTATGTCTCTCTTAGGGTCCTCATTGTTGTCTAGGTTCTCTGGAATTGTGAATTGTAGGCTGGTTTTTCTTTGCTTTATGCTTAAAAGCCACTTATGAGTACATATGATATTTGTTTTTCTGGGTCTGGGTTACCTCACTCAATATGATGTTTTCTAGATCTATCCATTTGCCCGCAAATTTCGTGCTGTCATATTTTTTCTGCTGTGTACCACTCCATTGTGAAAATGCACCACATTTTCCTTATCCATTCTGTGGTCGAGGGGCATTTAGCTTGTGTCCAGGTTCTGGTTATGACAAACACGGCACCCAACAGAGTCAGTGAACAACAGATTAGTGCTCTAACATGTGCTAGCTAAGTCCACATAAACCTGAGAGGGATTGGAAAGGAATTTTAGACACTAAAAAGCAAAGTTTAGCCGCATTTTTTTTTTCAGATGGGCTCTGCTTGATGGCAGCATACTGCAGCTCTTTTAAGATAGGTCTTCCGGATTCAGTGGTATCAAAAACAAACAAAACAAAAAACAAACAAACAAACAACAACAACACAAAGTGTGGTATCAAAATAGTGGCCTTCCTGGGCCATGCTCCCAGCATGAACTCTGGCTACTTCAGGTGGCTGAGCATTTAAATGGGGTCTGTGAGCAGAGTGCTGCAACTTGCTTAATGGCAACATACAGCTGCTCTGTGCCTAAAAATGGGGCAATGTACATGGCTCTCAGAGGCAGCGAACATAACTCTGCCATGTTGGACTGGGTGGAGCAAGCAGGCAGGGCTGTGTTGGCCATAGCCACACCTGCTTAGAATTAAAAAAAAAAAAGTGTTTCTGGTCAGAAAACAATTACACATACACAATAAAGACATATTTAGATAGAAAAGACCTCTAAAAGGGTCATAGTATTGGATAAATGTACACAGGCTTGTGAAAGGGGAAAAAAAAGTACAGAGAGTTATAAAAAGAAGTAACTTGTTTTAAAAAATAAAACTCCAGACCTTAGTATGCCCTATGCTGTAGAATGATGTTTTTGTACACTTAAGAAATGTCACTCTGATTGCTTTAATAAAAAGCTGAACGGTCAATAGCTAGGCAGGATTTCCAGACACACGGGACACTGGGATGAAGAAGGGGAGACCCCAGAATTGCAGAACAAACAGCATGGGCATTACAGAGTAAAGGTAACTGAGGCACATAAAAGAACATAGATTAAAACATATGGGTTAAAAAGTTGTAACAACTAGTTGGAAACAAGCCTAAGCTATTGGTCAAGCCTTCATAATTAATAATAAGTCTTTGTGTTATGACTGGGGAACTGGCTTGGCAGGACAGAGAAAACTTGCTATACCCTCAGGCTCTGGGACAGGGTAAGGACAGGTGGTAAGAGGTCACATAGTCAAATCTTATCATGACCCTGTGGTTTACCGGAGATGGATTGCTGGTCCAAGCTTTCTGCTCTGGGAAAACACATGACAGCATCTGCAGTTTTGAAAGATGATTACCTGCGCAAGACGCTGGGGTGAGAGGTTACTTACAAACAGCAGAACCAGTTTCTGTAAGACTGACAAGCAGAAAGCTCTAAAGCAAGGAAAACGAGAAAACAGAGCTGAAGGAGTGGCAGGAGCTGGTGATGTGAGATCACCAAGCTTCGTTGGTCTGGTCATTAACAAGGAAGGAAAGGGAGGGATAGGAGGAACTGAGTTACGTGGGAAGTCTTGATACAGGAAGAAACCCTGGGCATCCTCCATTATCTGACTAACGTAAGGAATTAATGCAAAGGGAGAGGGTACGGTGATGAACTCACTCCTTGACGAACATTCAGTTAGGTTCCATCTATGCAAATGACAGGTAGCTGTCATGCTTTGAGCTCTTTAGGCCTAAGACCAGTGTTAGCAAACATCTTCTAAGTCACAGAAAATGAGTACCCATCCTGGGTCACTGGTCACTCTCACCTGCCCTCAGCAAGATTGGGTTCGCTTTGGTTCTCATGTCACCCCTGTACAGTCTTCCATCCCTTTGCCTGCTGCCTCTAAATTCCACTTTTTGTTGTGTCAGAACTTGGACCTGATAGCTCACCATAGCAATAGTTCTGAACAATCTTTTCACTGTTTCAACAGTGTCAGGGTATTTTAACAATGAGAAACCAAGAATTAAAGTTACTTCCTAGCCCTTCTAAATTTTAATTTATGGAGTACAAATTGTAACTATTGCGTAGCTAGTTAATAGCTAATACACTGTTAGGGCTTACCAGACATTATGGTAGACACAACCAAACTTTTTGAGTCCCCCTACACCTAACATGCTCTGTTTTTTTTTTTTTTTTCCCCTCTCTTTCTCTTTTTTAGGGGAGGAGAAAGTGTCAAGGTCACCCTATGTAGACCAGGCTGGCCTCTGAGTTTATAATCTCTCTACATCCTTAAACTCTGTCATGCTGGTCCCCCTTAATTAAAACTCAGTGAGTCTGGCAACACATGTAATGCCCTTCCTTAAAGGGCTTTAAATCATCTTCATTTTATAGGGCTACAGAACCCTACCACCCCGAGCCTTGAGTACCTCATCTGACGCTCTACTTAACTAGTTGACACTAGTTTGCCTCTCTGGTATACAAAACCCATCAGAATTTTGACGTGTTGATAACAGGGCCACCATTGGGACTGTATACGGTAACTTCCACAGGACAACATAATGAAAAATAGCTTTTCGGTCGACAGACGGGGTAGCCTAATAGAAACAGACAATGAGAAAGTGTCACCACTGCACTATCACAGGGTCCAGCCAGTCTGCTCAGACACAGCCGGCTCTGAAAGCAGTTCCCAGGGACCGGGGCAACCCAGAGCACGCGCAGAGCCGGCAGGCAAGCTCAGCCGAAAACGGACGGCTACCAGCAAGCAAGCCATTAGGGACTCTACGCTGAGATCCAGCACTGAGCTTAAAAGCCATGGACCTGCCCGCGACCGAAGAGCCCAGCTTGCCCTCCCGCCGCTACCAAGCGTCTTGAAGCCGCCCAGCACCCAGCTCCTTCCCACGGCCACGGAGAGTCGCGCCAGCTTAGGAGAGTTAGCGGCAGAAAGCCCCACCCAGAGACAGCGTCATTTCCGCTGGGGCGGGGCGGGGCGCGGCGGAGGGCGGCGCTCGTCCGGGCGGTCGTCTGTTTGGGTTCCGGGCGCCGCAGCTGACGCGGACGGAGGCAGGCGAGTGGCCGCCGCGGCGCCCGTGACTGCCCGCGTCCCGGTGAGTGGCCGAGGGCCGGCGGGTGGCGGGTGGCGTCCGCGGCCGGGCGCGCTGGCTCCCGTCGTCCCCGGGGTCGCGGGCAGGGCCGCCGGGTGTTGTGGTTGGTCGCGTCCCGCCCCCGCCCGTGGGCCGGCCCGTCCGCCCGGCTCCTCGGCCCGGCTGCGCGCTGGGTCCCGGACAGGGTGTTCTCGGGCAGTTAGTCCACCGGAGACCTGACGGTTTCTCCGTCGTACGTCGTCCTTGACCGGGCAGCGTGCAGCGATTTATTTGTCTCTTCGCGTGTGTTCCTATCCCAGACCGCTGTTGCTTAAGCAGAATCAGATGTACTTGCCTTTTAAAAAGATGAGGAAAACTGTCTGAGTCATCAGGTTGCAGTGACTCTTGTCTCCGTCGTCTCTGTCATTTCTGTCATGATTCTGGGCGGGGGAGAGGGGGGAGGACCTGTTTCTGTGCCCAGTACAGTGATCATTTTAAGGAAAAGTAGTGACACTCCGAGGAATGTCTTAGAGATAGATGTTGACATAAGCGACTATCATAGAATACGTTTTAAAATGCTGTTTTTATTTCCAAGAACAATGGTATTCTAGAACTGCATTCTTGATTGTAAACAATGTATTTCAGGCAATCAGGATGGTGCATTACCACAACGAAAGAAGGTATAATGATGTCACTTGATAGTTTTTGCTTATCTTTCTATTTTGTTTATCTTGTTTTTCTATTCTTACAACTCATTTTAAAATCTTCCTAGCAGTGGCCCTCCTCTTAAATGGTGTTGGATTAATGAAAGGGTTAGTTCACTGATTTCTATTAGTAGGTATTCTCATGCAGAATTGATACAAGAACAGCCTGTACTTGGCGTTGTTTTCCTCAGCCAGTAAAGACGGAATTTGTTGCTTCATTTGGGGAGCATACCTTTGTAAAAAGGTCAGAGCTAGACTCTTGTTTCCTCTCAGTTGTGGCTCTTTACTCTGCTTTTCCTGTATTTTATTCTCTTTGGTATCTATTGCGTTAGAAAGTTATTGCAGAATTTTATAGACAACTCTCCTTCAATGCTTTCTGGTTTGCTTGTGTGCTTTTTTCTTTCTGTTCCTAACTTTGGATGCCACTCAAAGCGCTAACCACATCGTTCTCCCCAAACCAAGAGCTTAATGTTTGAAACCAAAGTCGTATTAATAGGCCCGTGGATATCCCGAAATGTCGAGGAAGTATAGGATGTGTTTGTAGCTAAACACTTTTCAAAAGAAAAGGGCCTGAAGAGCTCATTTTTGTTGTGTCCTGTACATCCAAATACCGCAGGCCAGCCTTTGGTAAACCCTTTTGACCTCACTGGCTCTGTTGTCACTGTGGATCATTTCATACATAAATTCAGTTTCTCTTTCAGCTCCGTATCATTTCTTAATTCTGTAAATCCTAAAGAGAAACCCAGTTTCCTTTATATTGTTATACTGTCCCCTTTCCAGGTTTTTCATGGCCCTTTTCCTCTGTGTCTGATTTGAAGGCTTAGAGTTCTCTCGACAACATCTCCTTAGCTCCCTGGTGCTTGTCACCAAATCCAGTTTTTGTTTCTAAAAAAATATTTTACCTTTATTTTTAATTATGCGTCTTGTAGCTAGTGCAAACATGAGTGTAAGTGTTTTCAGATACCAAAAAAAAAAAAAAAAGGTGTTGGATGTCTTGGGGAGTGCAGACAGTTGTGAGCCGGCAGGCAGCTGTAGCAGCCTGATGTGGGTGCTGGGAAAGGAACTCTAGTTCTCTGGAAGAAGAGCACATACTCTTAACTAGGGAGCCGTCTTCCCAGCCCCATTCTTTTTATGTATCTTTCTTTTTCCTCCTCGCTTCAAAATGTGGCTCACAGATAGCCCATTTCTGCATTCCTGCACCATTGCTGTATCCAGACCCTTGCTTCCTTTTTTGGCTATGTTATTGTGATTATTATAATATATATCTATGTTTTTTGGGCTTTGGGGGATGGGTGGGGCGTGAGACAGGATTTCTCTGTGTAACCATTCTGCTTGCCCTCAAACTCTCTCTAGACCAGACTGGCCTCAAACTCACAGGGTGTACTGTGTGCCACCCCTCCCGGCTAAATTTGTATATTCATTCCCTCCCCAGTTGGGCCCACACCTAGCATTTCCTTCAGTCCCTTGATGTGCTTTGGTTAAACTCCACTCCTTTCCCTGGAGTCAAAGTGTCTCTCTCTGGGCGCACCTTCACTGTATGACAGCCAGCTCTAGCCTGTCTTGCCCTTGTCCCAGTTTATAGCACCCTTCTCCTTCCATTCTTTCCCTGCTTCTGCTGTGTCTTTTCTTGTGTTTGCCTTTCCTCTCAAAGCCTCTTCTGTAGTACTGACATCTGTACAGTGGCAGTGAAGCTTGCTGCTCATTTCTGTGTTAAGTCATTGTGGTTTCTGATAGGCGTGAGTAGTGTCTCGTTCTGTTCACAAAATCATCTTTCTGTAGTGCTTCCCATTTGGGGGGCTTCATGTTCTGTACATTGATGCCGGATTGATAGGTATGTATTCATCATTAGACTATTATATCTTCAAAACTTTCAAAAGCATTTTATGGTGTGTGTGTGTGTGTGTGTGTGTGTGTGTGTGTGTGTGTGAATGTGGGTGTGTGGATATCTCAAGAATTAGATCTTTCTTTCCACGATGAGTTGCAGGTACTGAACCCAGATTGTCTAGTTTGCATGGCAAGTGCTTTTACCTACTGAGAGCGATCCCTGGCCCCAGATGACGTTCAGGAAAGAAACAGAGCGGGTTGTATAATAGTCTAGATGTGCTAGGTCTGCATTGGTCTCTCTTCTGCCTCAGTCTTGGGCTGATCATTGTGACTCTTAGATGCCATCAGCCACCTTCCAGCTCATGCTGTCACCAGAATGTCATTTGCTTTTCTTCTGTCGGAATTTTTTAAATCAAGAGTCCCAAAAGAATTCATTTCTTCACTTCAGAGAGCCACTAAAATGCCAGAGTATCAGTTCTTCCTGTATAATTAGTATTCTTCGTGCTTTAATTCTTGACACCATGGTGAGCACAAACTAATGAAAATGTATCTACTTGTTAGTAATTTGTGGTGATCTACAAGACTGTCCGAAGGTAAATAATAAATAGGTCATCCTCTTACTGCTGTGTGCCCCTTTTTATCTTGTGCAAGCTGTTTTCCTTATATTCGCCATGGGAAGCTTTCACTTTTCACTATTTAGAATCTCATCACTCCCAAACCTCTCAATCCTTACCAGTAGGTTACAGGCATATTAGAGAGCGAGTATGTAGCTAGGAGTATTCATTTAGTCTCCTTTACTCTTTATTCTTGGTTACTTCTTTTTTTTTTTTGCCTATAATATTTTATTCTTCCTGTTACCACTGGATATTTAGCCTTACTTAATTTCTAAACTAAGTTCTATATCTAAAGCATGCTTGCACATTTTCCTGTTGGCTGTGCGGGTGGATAGTCTCTCTAGGTGATAGTTCATTCTGTGGCATGTTTTGTAATCTGACTTAATGTTCATTGGTGCTTGCCCCTTGCCCAACATTTGGGAAGTGACTTTGCTCTGGAGTTTAGTTGTTTCTGCAGGAATTCCATGTAGTTAACCAGCTCTGACCAGTTTCCATTTGCATAGCATCTCAGCACTGTGGTGGTAGTAAGACTGTAGATCAGGTCTGCTTTTAAAGCTTGACTTTTGTTCATGCTGGGCTCATATAGCTGGAACTTCGAGCTTTCTGCGTGCTAGGAAGTATTCTGCCAGGTGTACTAGATCCCCAGCCACACAGCATGACTTTATCAGGGATTTCTCTGTGGTAGAAGATACCAGTGTTTATACCAACTGAACTTACCGCATTCACAGCAAGTCCCATGAAGCTTAGAAGGCCAGGACAGAAAGGCAGACAGGCTTGTGCCCTTTCTATCTTTCCTCTATTCAGTGAGCATGTTAAAATAATGTGTGAACCTACAATGTAGAAAGGGTTTAGTTCAGACTTTCCTCCCCTCTGCATAACTGCAGTTCTTATTTTGGTTTTCTCAGTACAACTTTCTACTTCTTCCTTATATAAGCTACATCCTGAGGAAAACTGCATTGCTTGACTCTTGGAAGGTACTCTTTGTGTTTTGTTTCATGCTTGCTTATTTTATTTATTTATTTATTTATTTATTTATTTATTTATTTATTTGTGTGCGCGCGCTTTAACATTAGCTAGAATTCTCTCCTCATCTTTACTTGTAAGTTTTCTTCTAGTTTGGAATTTTTTTTAATATTTATTTATTTATTATGTATACAATATTCTGTCTGTATGCCTGAAGGCCAGAAGAGGGTGCCAGACCTCATTACAGATGGTTGTGAGCCACCATGTGGTTGCTGGGAATTGAACTCAGGACCTTTGGAAGAGCAGGCAATGCTCTTAACCTCTGAGCCATCTCTCCAGCCCCCTCTAGTTTGGAATTTTAATCATATGTATGCATGTTTGTATGTGTGTATATATTTTTGATACACAGAGTCTTTCCCTGTAGCCCTGATTTGTCCTAAACTTGTGATCTTCCTGCCCCAGCCTCTTGAGTGTTGAGATTACAGGCATACACCACTATGCTTAGCACTTTTGTTTTAACCAATCATTGGAGATGATTCCAGTGTTTTCCCTTCCTAGCATATTAGTCGTATTTTTTAAAGAATACATTTATTTGGTGTGTGTGTGTGCATGTGTGTGCACGTGTGCGCATGCATGTCATAGCACATGACAGAGGACAACTTTGGGAGGTGTAGGAGTAAAGAGAGAGGAGGGGAAAGTAAGGGAGAGTGGAAGTAGACAAGCTCTTCCTGATCTTTGTGGGTTCATCTGGTATCCCACTACTTTGCTGAATTTATCTTATTTGATCTAAGAGGTTTCTGGTGATAATATTAAGGCCATATAAGTATAAGATTATGTCATGTATAAAGAATGATTTGACTTCTCATTTTCCTATTTGTTTCCCTTTTATTTCTTATATTTACCTCATTGTGCTAAGATT